AGAGACCAGAGGTAGCAGCATCCAGGTCCTTGAGGACAACCAGGGGGCCATAGCGTAAGTACAGAACCCCCTCAGCTCAGGTCGCACGAAACAAATCGACGTGAGGTTTCATTTCATCCACGGATTGTCTAGGTCGAGGGATATTTCGGTCAAGTTTGTTCCGACAACGGATCAACACGCGGACCTCCTTACCAAGGCCCTTAGCAGGGCCAGCCTGCAGTACCACCGGCGCAAGTTGATGAATTTGCCGGAGTAGCTATAGCAGTTTTTAGCACTTCCCTCGGACTTTCTAATAAGTGCGGCCGTTGTGATCCGCTGCGATAGCGACGGTTTTTGTGGTGGTAGGGGTTTATTCGAGGGGTTTTGCCCGGACGCCGGGTCTTTCCCCTCCATATATGACCATGTTGGTATTTCTGATGTATCCAGGGGCGTTCTTGCCCCATTGATGGTAAGTCACTTGCGTGAAGAACCAGGGAGGGTGTTCGTGTGTCTGCGAACATTGGTGTTGGATACATGTGCTGTATGATTTCGGTGTCACGCAGATTGGTAAGATTGCCGTTTGGTAGGGGGCACCGCGATGAGTCACGGGGTCCGTCCTTGGTGTAGGAGCTGCCCATGTGGGGCACTCCCTCTTTCGTCCGTGTGAAGGACGGTCGTCTAACTCTCGTGAAGTATATACATCACCAAAACAGTCTCACGCGGCAAGTAAGTGGCGTAGGCCGCAAACACAACATGCCCCACCTATTTCAAAGTTTGGTGAGCGCGGGCGATCGATGAAGATTGGAAAAAGACACACTCAACTCAACAACAAATTAATTCAATCCAACTCGGTATGGATTCTAATTGATAGGTATTTCCCTGCTCGATGCTGCTCTTCCTGTACATTGTACCAGCCAGTGTTCGTTTCTATTTCTCGCAGGTCTATCATCTGTGGGGAGTTGTCTTATCCTCTGTGATATATGGTAGTTGGTGTGTGGCGACGACGGAAGGTATCCGCATCATTAATGGGCACGTAACGGAGACCTTCCGACTTATATGATGTACATCAGGTCGCATGTTCCAGGTCGTATGCATCACATGGTATGCATAGAAACCCTCGCGAAAGGGCCCCTAAAAAAACTGAGAAACAGGGTTGGTTGTCGTGTCGGCCGCCACCAGCAGTACGGCCACCAAAGGTAAACGCCATTACTCTTTGGGGTTGTCCATTTCTCCCAATATTTTTTTTCCCCAACGTTGGGTTCACCCATTCACCGGTGTGAAACAAGACGGATTGGGCCCGGCACTCATACTCATTACGCGGCACACNAAGGTAAACGCCATTACTCTTTGGGGTTGTCCATTTCTCCCAATATTTTTTTCCCCCAACGTTGGGTTCACCCATTCACCGGTGTGAAACAAGACGGATTGGGCCCGGCACTCATACTCATTACGCGGCACACTTTCGGGTGCCATCTCAATCTGAAAACATGCCGAAATGCTCTTCGATGCCCCCCGTGTCCCCCAATCGCGGGTGGGGACGCGCCCGTTTCCAACGTGTTCCGGTCTACGTTACCCAGAAAAACAGCAGTCTTCGTGCCCACCGACTATCTGGATGGGTCGGGCACGCAAAAATCGCACACCCTGCTCTCGTGCGGGCGCCTGTTGCGTGAATCAGTCGTGCGTGCCGAATTCTGATTGGTACTCCGATTGGTACCGTACGCGACTTTGGTGAGGGGCAGGATAACAAGACAGGAAACGCCGTGTTTCGATTATTTCGCCCCAAGTTTCTCGATAGCGAAGCTTGACTATCTGTTTGTGCCCCTCAGGTAGGTGATCAAGCATCCAAACATGCACGCCAAGTCCTTCGGGAGCACACCAACCACGCCTTGGTCGGCATTAATTTTTCCAAACCGACTTCACCTCACGCGGCCCTGGTGAACGCCGTCGCTCAAGGGGTACAATAGTCGGTTTCGACATGAGTTCGTGTTTTTTTTCGCGTGAGAATCTTTGCCCTTGCACTCTGCATTCGCACACCATGGCCCAGATAACGAAAAACAAACGCGGCGACCAGCTCCCTTGGGGCAAAACCACTGCTCGGTTGTAGTTGTCATTGAGTTGTCCTTGTCATGACCGACCGCCACCAGCAGTATGGCCACCCAAGGAAAACGCCATTACTCTTTGGGGTTGTCCATTTCTCCCAATATTTTTTTCCCCCAACGTTGGGTTCACCCATTCACCGGTGTGGAACAAGACGGATTGGGCCCGGCACTCATACTCATTACGCGGCACACTTTCGGGTGCCATCTCAATCTGAAAACATGCCGAAATGTTCTTCGATGCCCCCAGTGTCCCCCACTCGCGGGTGGGGACGCGCCCGTGTCCAACGTGTTCCGGTCTACGTTACCCAGAAAAACAGCAGTCTTCGTGCCCACCGACTATCTGGACGGGTCGGGCACACAGAAATTTTGGCTTATTGTGGATGTCCAACCTGCGTTGGGTAGCCCTACGGCGCATTTCCGGCAATCACAACAACGCCCGTGTTTGGAGACCACGTCATTTTTTACACGTGGTGAGTGCAAACGTTTTTTTCACACCTTTTCGAGTGCAAATGTCCCTCTGTTTCACCAACGACAACCCTGAAGAATATATCATGTGAACATACGCACACCAGAAGCGTTGTGGCCTAGCCCCTGTAGGCCCACTCCACAGTACAATCCAGCATGATCGCGAAACAGGAGCCACAGGCAGAGGAGGACAAGATTGCTCGATAAATTCAGCTCCTAAGAAGCACTCTCGCTGCACTATGCATCGCTGCATCAGGGACCGACACGCACACCACGGGACCAACAAGGCAAAACAACACCAGACCATCTCAACCTGAGACTACAATTGTACACAACGGGCGTGTACCCTGAAAGACGTCATTGGATTACCACCGTGTGCATCACCCACCCTAAACACGGGTTGAAATCCGCAAACACACAAAACCGACTGTGGAGTACACGAAAGTGGTGGCACTAGCAAGGGTTTGGCGGTCGGTGGTCCACCCGTCAACAAACATATTACATTCCAATACCTCGCATATGCACCTTGCACGTCCACCAAAACACTACGTCCCACGCGAGAAACTACAAAACGCCTGCCTGGCCGAACTATCAATCGGATACCAAGTCAACCTCCAACTCTTCAGGCACAATCCCAACGTCTACAATACTCCACCATGTTTTCCCCCATTCTGCAAAAACTCAAGCGGTCGACCCCAGCACCGTAGCAAGCATGACAATGTCCACCCTCCCCAGGCAGTCGAATACGCGCATGACGGGCTTCCGGCAAGAGCACCTGCCGCACCTCCATATGGCGGCTCAACAGCCAGCAAAGCTATCTTTTGGGTGTTCCGTGACACTTGCTAAAAGCGTCCTCAGAGTTTTTCTGTTGAACCCCTGGTAGAGGCGCTCGTTGATCACCCTGAGCGCGAAAGTGAAGTTGGAAAATGTCATGGTATGGAGCGATCGAAGGCACAACGCCTTCTTCGAACGGTCCTGTTCGTGCGGGTCCAGGTTGATCCCTGCAAGCTCATCACACGTCGTGAAACCACTGTACTGCCGCTGGCACTCCTTGCTGTGGTTCTTCTCGTGAGGTTCGTCTGGGCCCACAAACATCCCCGACTGCCACATTTTATATTTGGCGTGCTCGGACGACTTCTTGTCGAAGGTGGTGTCATGCCAGACGCAATCGTACCAAGCCACCTTGAAGTTCTCCGCGCTCTCATGCGGGGGGGTGTCCACCGCCAGTGCAATCTGAAGGGCCATGATGGAGTACACACCGTCTCCACACCCGATGCCGCAGCGAATAGCACTCTCTGGAAGTTGCACGACCACGGCAAGAGCGTCAAGCGTTAGCGAATGGATGGATACAGAGGTACTCATGATTCATGCTGTGAAGGTAATCAACTGTAAACCGAACCACGCGACCCAACACCCCTCGACCCATGTCATGTAAGCCTGGGGATGCCCGACATCGATCGCCCTTCAACGAAACGGGCAATACGAGCCCGCCAGAAAACCATCATGAGGTACACCTGCGATCTTGCGCTCTTTCTCGCCAATCGGCAGTACTCCGTCGACCATGAACTTTGTCTTTGCCTGCAGCAATCCGCACGCGAGGAAAAGGAGTGGCTGTTGGATAACGCCATAATTCTGACTACGCGTTTCAAACCGACAGCACACCGCACAGAGGAAGCGAAGGCGCGCACGTCGACAGGCGAAACTCTATTATAGAGGGCTCGGGACTGGTGGCTTGTTTGGAGGAGTAGATGGGAGCTTCGATTTTGGAACCACTCAGCAGAGTTTGTGCACCTCTCGACCACGACCTTTGACTTTGACTGCAGCAACAAATAGAAGCGGCAAAGGTTGGCTGTTCGAACACACCTCAAATATCACCACGCGTACACATGGAAAGAGGAGGAAGGACGCGGCCCGAAAATAGTTTGCAAACGGCCTTACGCGCAGGGAATCCCAGGCAAGCGATTCTGAAGGGTAGACCCTAGAGGGCTAGCGAGAGATGAATTATGTGGAGGGATGAATACAGCCTTCGCTTTTAGAACCACTAAACAGTGCTCGTCCACCCAGCAAAGTCAATGATTGCATCACAAAAGGCAAACCGAAAACCCAACGCCGAATTCCTTACCCCAAGTGCTCTCAGAAAGGTTGAGATACCGATGCAATGATCAAGAGAAGGCAATAGGTTGGTGTACTCAACCTCCGGCTGCTAAATCATCTGATCATTGATGCGCTTACCGCCGCGTAAGCATGCAACCCGTCCACCTGGGTAGCATAGAGGGTTGAAGTGTCACCGTTCACGAAATCCCCCGCACCAAACCAATCCGGCAAGCATGCACCCTTTCCATTCCTGGCCCCGCGCGCAACCACTAGCACTTCCCGCAAGTGCTTTTCGGCGTCACCAGTGCTGACTGCGTCCACGCTCTCAGCGGTGGTCCCGACAGGCACTACTCCGTGGGAACGCCTTCTTAGGGTCCACCCGGTAGCCCCAAGCTCTAGCATGCCTGGTTCATCTTCGGCGATGTTTCGGAGCCAGACGTACGTTAAGATGAGGACCTCGAACAAGANCTGCGTCCACGCTCTCAGCGGTGGTCCCGACAGGCACTACTCCGTGGGAACGCCTTCTTAGGGTCCACCCGGTAGCCCCAAGCTCTAGCATGCCTGGTTCATCTTCGGCGATGTTTCGGAGCCAGACGTACGTGAAGATGAGGACCTCGAACAAGAAGAGCACCCGAATTCCTGCCTCCCGGAGAGCTGCCACAGCTCTCGTGGCCGCCAAGTTAACGGCCTTCGGTACTGGCCCCTGTGTTTCGGCGGACGCGAGCAGAAGGTCGTAGACGTTTAGTTGGCTCTGCACACGATCGCCCTGGGCAGCAGCCTTGAGGGCATACACGTCGACTTTGCTGTCTCTTTGGTGGTACAGGTAGGGAAACTTGCGGTGCTTCGACGGTGGTACTTGCGCTGTTGCTGCCGAGGTGTGCCAACGCCGGCAAGAAGGCGCGTGGTGTGGGTGCGGGCTCGCCATCCTCGGTGTCATTTGAGGCAGCGTTGCTGTACCCGCTGCCCCCCCACCCCACCCCATCGTCGCCAAGCCGAGTGAGTCTCCCGCAGTTTTGAAGGACCCCCGGGAGGTGTTTTCCGTGTGCGCCACCGCTTTGCATCCGGCATCGTACACCCCAAGAACCGGCGTTTGCTGTCATGTTGGCAAAGGGCAAGGGCAACACGGAAAACGGCACAGCCGGAAGTTAAACCAAACCGACAAACACATCGCCTAAGGGTCAGGGACAGAGCGCGGTTTAGCACGCTTGGACGTTTGTCCGATCCAAGCGTTGGCGGGTGCGCGTTACCTAACAACGTACTCCTCAAACACCAAGCAGAGTAGAGCCAACGGTGACAGATAGTTGCTGTAGTGACAAGTATGTCGTGCTGTCCGTCGTTCCTTTCCTCCCTTGCAAGAAGTCCCGCTGTGTGAACATACTTTGTGAGCGTTGGCGCTTGCCAGCTAGGGTGTTTTCTATTTCGCGTGTCGTCATCGTGACGTTGTCGTTACTCCGGGAAATATTTCAAGTCAGGTTAACGTCAATCAAGCCATCCACCAACATTTTCGCCACACGTAGTAGGTCCCCATGTTTTTGTTTTGGATACTTCCGAGGGGGGAGCGGTGTACTCATGGTCGTGCATGCCGTAGTCGTTAGACCATTGACCTCGCATCCCTACAAGGCCGGGACGGAGCACGCCGGGTTCTCACCGAAGCACGCTCTCGCATCACCAAGCGCGAAGCGCCGTGAGGTATTCGGCGAGTCACATGAAGGGTGCGCTGCATCCTACGAAGGGTGTTCGGCATCTTGTGCTTACGTACGGATGACAGCTGCGTATGAATTAATTTATTTTCTGGTGCTTTCACTTCCAGAGACAGCTGTAAGCACTGTGTGTCTACCTCGAGGGTGTTTGACCAATTTGACACAACGTGTTGCGATGACCCCCTTTGCGCGGAGTGAGAGTTCTCAACCCCGCACAACATGTTCTGCTCGACCAACATTCATGGTTACCGCAAGAAAAAAAACAAGAGCAACAAAAAAATCGGTAACCTGGTTGCCGAGCGCACGAAGTGATCGTCTTGCTTTACAACGTCGTTGTCACGCGACGAGAACCCAACCCCGATGGCAAACACCGGGGGGGGGGGCATACTTTCGAA